AAATGATGCTGCTTAGCAAACTCCGTATTTGGGTGTAGCACGTTTTATTCCATTTGACCACCAAGGTAGCCGCGCACTGCCCGAACTAATGCCGATCGAACACAACAGCAGCGATACATAGTGATGCATTCGCCGAAGTGCTATGCCAGCGGTGAGAATGACGCTGATGTATACCAGCACACGCCCGCACCAGGACGCAGCCAAGACGTCACCTCCGAGCGTGGCGCGCCAGGGCTCCACTAGTCACGGTAGGGGCGGCCGACTGGCCTGCTCAGAGCCGTAGAGCGCTCCACAGCACTCGCTCGGGAGCTTCTCCATGGCGGCACCCATCCGCATTGACTAGTCCAGGCCTCCGGCCGGCGCAGCGCGTGCCGACACCGCACGAGAGTACGTGCAGCAGGGTCGCAAGGCACCGGCGCCGACGATCACCGGCAGTCAGCCCAGCCGCGACACCGAACCTCCGCGCCCACATCGGTTTCGTTCACCCGTGTCGCGTCGAGGAAGGCTCACTGGACGGCGCCAGTGCGCAGCTCACCAGCTTCCATTTGCCACTTTGCACCAGCCGGCCCGCACGCCCTCTGGGGCCACCGTTCCTCCCCCCCCCCCCCCCTCCTCCGCGCCGCCGCGCCAGTCCCGGCAGCCTCCGGTCGGCCAGTGCCGGCGGCGAGCGCGCACCGCATCATTTCATCATCTCGGGGTGGGCGGCGCGGCAGTGGCGTAGCAGGTTGGCGCGGGTGGAATAGTGCACGCCGCAGACGGCGCACGCGGTCAGACCGCGGTGCAGCGCCAGGTGCCGGTTCAGGGTGCGCCGGCCGGCGAACACCTTGCCGCAGATCTGACAGCGTGCCTTGTAGTCGCCGCTGCTGCTGCTGCCGCCACCACCGCCGCCGCCGCCGCCGCCGCCGCCGCCTGCAACAGCGGCGGAGCGTCAGGGCACGTGGCGGCGGCGGCGGCGGCGACACGTCAGTCACACTGCCCCCGGCAGGTGGCGCTCAGAGGCGTGCGCACCGGCGCCCGGTTGGCCCGGTCCGAGGCGGGCACTTGGCTGGCGAGTTCATGGAGCTCCCCTCTGACGTCTACCGGGGGACGGACGCCGACAAGCCGCGCTCCTCGCCCTCGAACCACGCCCCGCAGCGAGCGAGGACGCCGTGCCCACCGGGCGCGCTGCGCTCGCCCGGCACGGTCCAGCACCGGCCCGCCTGTCCTCGCTCCACACCTACACGCCACGTTCTGCCGGTACGACTGCGCCTCTAGGCGCGCTGCGCCGCCGACTGCGCCTTCTAGGCGTGGTGCGCCGCCTACTCCGCCTGCGCCGCCTGCGCCTGTCCACCATGGCTGGCGCAGCAGGTGCGCCTTCAGCTGGCTGATGCGTTGTGAAGACGCGGCCGCAGGCGCCGCACGTCGTGCGACCCTCGTGGAAGGCCTTGTGGTGCGAGCGGTTGTACCAGTTCATGACCTTGCCGCACTGGCGGCAGTGGTAGGAGAAGCTGGCCGGCCGGCGATCTGCGGACACACAGAAGGCCGCCGGTCAGCCACGGCCCCCGCCGCGCCGGCTTCGGGGCATCGGACCGCTGACATCAGGTCAGGCTCGACCCAGCCCTCTGCTGTGCCAGGCACCGGTCGTCGGACCGCTGACGCCGGGTCAGGCTCGACCCAGCCCCCTGCTGCGCCAGGCGCCGGTCGTCGGACCGCTGACGCCGGGACAGGGTCACCCCGGCCCTCTGCTGCGCCAGCCGCCGGTCGTCGGACCGCTGAACGCCGGGGCCAGGGTCACCCCGGCCCTCTGCTGCGCCAGGCGCCGGTCGTCGGACCGCTGACGCCGGGTCAGGGTCACCCCGGCCCTCTGCCGCGCCAGGCGCCGGTCATCGGACTGCTGACGCCGAGTCAGGGTCACCCCGGCCCTCTGCCGCGCCAGGCGCCGGTCGTCGGACCGCGGACGCCGGGTCAGGGTCAACCGACAGGAGGGAGGTTCGGGAGGTGTCAGGTCACCGCCGTGCCGAGGCCATCGGATCAGCCGTCCAGGCTCGATTTAACCGGGTCGGTCGCCCGCATCTGACGGCGTGACTGGCCGGCCGCCCCACCCGGGCGCAGCCCACTTCCAGCGAGGTGTCACTGCCTCCGCCAAGGCCGGACACAAGCCGCCGGGACCGCCACAACAACGCTCCATGAAGCGTTGGCAGCGGGGGAGCTCGATTGTAGCCATCCTGACTGCGGTGGATTCCAGTCGGACTGTCGCGGAGCTCTCCTTCGTGTGCGACAATCCAGACGCGATTGATGAAAAAATGATGCACGTATTGCCTCAACCGATATGTATACACTGTCATTATGATTTTATTCGATGTGCTATACCACGTCTGGTGAGCATATGAGGTGGATCTCCAGCCCACGGCTGTCCAGCAGACGCTCGCGGCCCTCCCGCTCGGTCCCGCACAAACAGCCGACGCAGAGCACAGCCGCGCGCAGTCGTTGTCACCTCACAGACACACCACCGGGTCATCCCCCACAGACGCCGTGTCAGACGCCACAAAAGGCTTGCAGGCCCAGCCTGAGTCCAACCACCGGGTGCCGTAACCGGCGGTTCGGCGTCTCGGCCCGGCCGGCAGCGACCTCCCTGCGACCGCCCTGCGGCCGGCCGTTCAGCGCCGCGCGGCGGCCGGCACCCGGCATCACAGATCGGACCGACGCCAGCGCACAGCGGTTGACGTGCCTCTTGTAGGCCTTGAGGGACGAGAGCCGGCGGCCGCAGCGGGCGCACCCAGTAACGGCCCTCGTGCACGGCACTTGTGATGCGAGCGCGCCGTCCAGGAGACGGCCTTGAGACACACGGGGCAGCGGTAGACGAGGCGCGCCGGCCTCCGTCACCTCCCCGTGCTGCTGGTCGATCCCTGGCCGCCGCCAACCTGCCGCCACACAGCAGGGCGTCAGCCGCGCCGCGCCCCAGCCGTGCCGCGACTCTGCCCCGTCCGCCGCCGCCCGCCGCCGACTCGCTGCTGACACGTAGCAATGATGGCTCCATAAGCCTCCAGTCACGTTATTCTTGGTGGAAGCCGGGGCCGGTGAAAGCACGCTTTTGCGGTGGGTGTTATTTTGATTGTTCCGTCGTCCACAGCAGAGGCGTCCGTCATGACGCGTCTCTCTGCCGGGGAGGCGGATGAGATGGAGGAACCGGAAGCGGCAGCTGCCGGGGACGCCTCTGCTACCTCTCGCCCATGCCCCCCCCTCCCCCCCCTACACACAAACACGGTCCCCTTCAGTGGCTGTGGCAGCCGGCGCGCGTCCAAGCTGGGGCTTCGCTTGCGAGCTGGTGGCGCCGCCCTGGCCGGCCGGAGTGCCAGCTTGTCTCCAGCTGGCAGTGGAGAACCAGCCGAGCGGTGCGGGCCAACCACACAATGGGCCCGCCGGCAGCTGGCGCGGCCTGGGGTGAGCCGTCAATAGCGACACCCCATTGGGGAGGGGTAGGGGAGTGGGCCGACCCCTATGTGAAGCCCTCGCCGCGCACCAGCTGCGCGACTACCGCGGGTTTCGAGGGAGAGATTCCAGTCGTCTATGCACGTAAACGATCGCTCAAACCATTTGAGGTAGTACTGCAGAAATACCATGAATGAGTGTTTGCTCGCCCTACTAAGGGGATACTAAGGGAAGGGGATTCGGTCTCTTGGGAGTACGACTGCATGATGTTGTGCAGCATTCGCTTGCTAGATTACTGAAGGCTTTTTCATGGTCGGCATGCCACTATATTTCAAGTTCACTGGAAAGAATACCAGCTGGATGTGGACCCACCACACCACTCCTCAGACCTCAACGATAGGATCCAAATTCACAAGCCTGTTAGCAGAACCGGTTGATTTCCGATGATAAAGGCGCCATTCTGGCTGGAGCCGAGCCACGGTACCACAGAAACGACATACCAGTCGTCGCCACATCATTTATTCCAGCTACCAAATAAAACGCGTGCGGAAACCTCAGACGAAATCATGATTTATTTCTGCAATGAAATTCAGGCACTACCCTGGGCGTCTACATCAAAGCGAAGCTTCTTTAGGACCAAACAACAAACTGCCTCTGCTCGCCGTGCGACCAGAGAAACCGCAAAAACCCCGACCGGACGTCGACCTTCCCCCTCCGGCCTCGGCCACCCACCCCACTCATCCGCTGACGGGGCATAGGTCAACGGTCAGAGGTCGCCACCGGCTCGCCGGTCAGAGGCCACCGCGGTCACGTCGCGCCGGGCCGGGGTCAGCGAGGTCGCAGGGGTCAGGGGTCGGGTCGGTGGCCGGCGTCGGCGGCAACCGGCGGGCCCGGCCAGCCGGGCGGCGGCGGCGGCGGGCCCGGCCGCCGCACGCTGCACCGCAGTCGGTGGCTGGCGTAGCTCTGCCGGCAGGCCATGACCCGGCCGCAGTTGGCGCACGTGGTCTGCCCGCGGTGCACAGCCTTGTGGTGCGAGCGGCGCGTCCAGGTGACCGCCTTGCGGCACAAGGGGCAGCGGTACAGCACGCCGCCGCCGGCCACCACCTCGCGGTGCAGCGCGTCACCGGCGTCGGCCCGCGCCGCGGCCGGCCAGCCTGCCGGCACAGAGCCACGCGTCAGCAGCGCACGCGCCGCGCCGAGCGCTCCGAGGACCAGACCGCACCGCGGCGGGCAGAGGCCGCACTGCAGAGGTGGCGCCCGGGGACCGATGCTCGGCCGGCCGCCGCCACAGGCAAGACTGCGCCGACAGGTTTCGGCACATGGTCAGAGTTGACCAGCAAGCATACGCGGCCTGCACCGCTCGTCCACCCAAGATCGGTTTTCACTCATGTGGCTGTGCATACGACCGGTGTGATTCAGACAGCAGCCGCAGAATATGAATTTATTGATGAGGTACACCACAGTAGGGACGTACTAATACCAAAGTCGGCCTGCACGCCCCGCCGCGAACGCGGCAATCCCTTCCACCGTCCACTTCACCAACGTCTCCAGCACGGTCACCGCCGGCCTCCCCCTCCGGAGGCCGGCCTGCGTCGTCCGCACGACCCGACCCGCATCGAGCAGTCTCTCCCAGCGCACCCGGCGCCCCTCGCGCGCCCTCTGCCCGCGCTCGCGCCCGTTCGGCAGTCGCTCGGCACTGCCGGCGCTCTTGTGCTTCTCCCCGCCGGCAAACCGCGCGCTGGCCGGCCACTACACTACCGGGCCCATCTTGCAGTTCATGCGGTGCCGCCAGAGGCTGGCCACGCTGACGAAGCTGCGGCCGCAGCGCGTGCAGCTGGCGCGGCCGCTGTGCGTAGCGCGGTGGTGCGAGCGGTGCGACCACGGCACGCGCTCGTCACACTGCGCCAGCGGACACACGTACAGCAGGCGGCCGTCGGCCGTCAGCAGCCGGTGGCGCAAGTCGTCGGCGTGCGCCCCTGCCGGCACAGGTCACACAGCAGGTCAGCAGGGCGCCGCCCCCGCCGCCCGCTCGGCACCGCGCTAGCCGGACTGAGCCGGTTTCGGACGAAAGGTCTGGAGCGCGCGCCGGGTCACCACGTCAAGCCCTCGGCGGTAACCTAGGCCAGTTGGCCAGCGCAGGCCATCTACGGCTCGCGACACGAGGTCCGCCGGTCGCCGAGCGATCGCTCCGAGCTCGCCCGCTGCTGGGCGGCCGGCTGTCAGCTCGTGGAGCCGGCACCGAGCGACTGACAAGAAGCGTGCCGCTGGTCGCACCCGTCCGCAGTGGCGCCTGGTCGCCACGCTCATCCGCGCTTGCAAGCAATGCCGGCAGAGACATTCCTACATGTGTCGCGTTAACATGAGTATCGTTTGACGCTGTCAATCCAAAGTGTCCGAAAATACCAATTACTCCTACTACCCAGCCAATCCTAAGCCATGTGGTCCAGTCGCGCAAGAAACCGAGCTGACCCCCGATGTACTAAACACCGTTCGTTTATGGGGGTATGGCACATCCGACATTCTGTCCTATCTGTTTCCCTTATGTTGGCCTCAATGCCGCCACATGTAGTCCAGCATTCAGTCAGGATAAAAAGGAACCGAAGACCACATGTATTTCAGCGGCTATCTGTGCTATATGGTACCGCCACTCTAACTCTCGGGCTGCAGGAGCGACGCTCCTAACACACATCATCGCAGGCACGGGCGACAGCAAGTCGGCTTCAAATATATAACAAAATGCATACAACCACCGTTTCCGCCAAATTCATTGTCTGTAAAAACTCAAGCAATGGAGCTAATTCCAAGGTTTACGAACAGCAATATCTTACATGGATCCGTGAGATCACTGAACACAAACCAGTCGAACATCTTCCCGCACAATATATCAATACAACTGGCAGGATAACGCTGGTCGCCTTAAAATGTATGAGTGTTGGACATCCGCGCCCTCAGTAGCATCGCCGGCTGGCGCGTAGTCTCGCAGCTGCAGCCGAGGCCCAGACCCACGCCGTTGGACCCCTAGTCCCAGCGGTCACTAAGCTGGCGCGCCGCTATATGGAGCCTTCGGCAGGCGACCAGGCCACACTCGGTGGCAAGTAGCGCGGCCAGCTGGCCGGACAGCCGCGTCCCGCCTCCGGACAGCGGCGTCACTGTCCTGATACGGCCCGCCAGCGCCTGAGCCCTGTCACGGGACCGGACAGGCGAGACGCTGCTCTCTCAGCTTCGGGCGGGGGTCCCGGCGCCGGGTCCGGCCGCCGCTGAGCGGGCCGGCCGCCGAGGCCAGACCGAGCCCCGACCCGGCTAGCGCGCCGCCGCCCCTCCTCACTGCGCCGGCGGCTTCCACTGCGGCGGCGGAGGAGGCCCCGCCACCGCAGGGCACTTGTGCTGGCGGAGGTGCCGGCGCGAGCCGAACACCACGCAGCAGGCGGCGCACGTGGTCTGGCCGCGGTGGATCGCCTTGTGGTGGGACCGGTTACTCCAGGTGACCAGTTTGGCGCAGACAGGGCACTGGTAGCGCAGCGCGCCGTCGGCGGCCAGCACGGCTGCGCTGTGGTCCCCGGGCCGGCTACCTGGCGGCAGCACGGCACAGATCAGCCGCCGGCCGCCCCAGCCTGGCACAGATCAGACGCTGACCGCCCCAGCCTGGCACAACTTAGCCGTTACCTGCCCCAACGTGGTACAGATCGGCCGCTGACCGCCCCAGCCTGGCACAACTTAGCCGTTGCCTGCCCCAGTGTGGCACACGTCAGCCGTCGGCCGCCCTAGTGTGGCACACAGTAGGCGCCAGCCGCCCCAGCATGGCACACTTCAGCCATTGCCTGCCCCAACGCGCCACAGGTCAACTGCCGGCCGCCCCAGCGCGGCCCACTTGACACATCGGCCGGCGCCTCCACGGAGCCGGTATATGCGGCATGCTCTCGCCGTGTTCCGCCTCGTCGCATCGCCCAGCGATTTTAGCAGGTTTTACAGTGTCCCTGTCGTCCTCCGGACGCTTGCCCGACCTAGGCCTCCCTGGCCACTCGTCTCGCCTCTCCAGCAGCAGTTCGGCGGCCCACCCTGCCGCAGGGCCGTCCGACTGGAGGTCACTGCCCTCACCGGCGCGCGCCCGATCAGGGCCGTCGCGCGCGGGACAGGCGACTACTGCTCACCCCACCGCGTCCCGCCCCTCGACCTCAACACGATGCCACAAAAGGAGAAAACGGCACGGAAACCTAACACAGTGGGTGCAGAGCGCGCCAATAAAAGGTCGGGAGGAGCGGGCCTGTGTTCTCCACGCGTCGGCAGTGTGTTCCGTTCCGCAGATGGGCATTGTGCCCCTGCATGCTCAGAAAGCCTCGATACAGTCCGGCCTTTCTTGCTGTGCTGTTGGGTGTGGTCTGTTCCCAGTTGCGCACAAATATAGGTGCTCGAGTAACTGCAATGTCATCATTAAGGCCTCCGCGCGCTTGCCAAGGCTCATAGTGCTTTCAGCTCGGCACCGTTACTCCATGACATTTATAACTCATTTGTTAAAACGGAAGTTATATAATATGCGAGAAGAAATAGCAGGACAGGACAAGGACAGTCGCTAGCGACAGGACAATCGCTATGAAAACAATGGGAGGTTTTATATTCCCATTAGTAAGCACCACAACACCCTCAAAAACGCACCACTGCGCACGATCTGACTAGAACCTATCATCCCTCCTAGTTGGTGCAACGTTGGACATTGCCCACTGTGTGACAACGATGTGCGATCATCTGGAGGCTTACGAGCGGGACTCGCATCTGATGATTTATTGACGCCTTCCCACGGCACTGCGCGAAACGCTAAAACCTTACGGGAAAAATGTTGTTAAACCAGCATTGCTTATCCGGTTGATGGCCAGGATTTTTGCAAAATGGCAGCAGTGGCAATGCCATTTTCGCTCGGCTTTGCTCGGCAACGCTACGGATCCAAATGCCGAGTCAGCGAGACATGAAATAATTCGGTAGCAAACTGAACAAACCGAATTCAATGTTTGCGGTTCCTACTTATTGCGGCTCCTGCTGCCTACATGCCTATTCACGGAGAATGGCGATACTTGCGTTTGACCGAGGCACGTATAGAAGCAGTCCTTCACGAAGTTCGCACATACCACTTCAGATATAAACACAAACAATACTTACAGACACGAAGAGGCGGCGCCAGGAGAGCGGCCTCGGAGTGACGCGCACCAGTCAATCCCAGGCGATGCGCGAGCCGACTGCTGATCGGAGTGCCCCTGTCCCCTCCCCTCCTCCCCCCTCTTTCTCTTTCGCTCTCTGTCTCTTTGTCACGCTTTCTCGGGAAATATGTGCCGAGCTCGACACGGCTTAATACAAAATTGCCGTCAGTGGTTCGCTTACTACCACACGACTACGCTGCCAGAAAAAATCGGTGGCTTGTGGCGAAATATATACAGCGTCACCAACCCGGTGGGTAAACGGATACTTATTCCCTGGGAGCCCATTCGGCCAAGCACATAAATGCATCTGCTTAGCTGCTCGGATCCACAACATAAGAGCTTCAAAAAGACGGACGAGTTAAACAATCAGATGCTCTCCGTGACAGATGGTTGCTGGCATCCTACAAGCAGTTGTTTACAGCAGGCCTATCGGCATCGGCAGATTACATTCAGACCGTAAGTAATCACGTGTTAAGTTATCCACAGCATGTCTTAAGGTCCGCTGAAGTTGGCGTTAGTCCGTCCAAGCATGCGGCCCGCCAGGTGCACCCCGCACCAGCCCACATCCCAGATTATGACGAGCAGCGAATGATCTCGACACCGCTCTCCAGCAGCTGGACACGGGTCGGTCCGGCCGGTGCCGACGGCGCGACACCCGAGGCCCGACCACCGCCGCTGCCGGCTAGAGCGGAGGCGCGCCGGCGCCGGCCGCCGGCTGCATGCTCTGAGCCACCAGGCCGAGCGGCGCGGCCTCCGGCTGCCGGCCGGGCGGCTCGGCGGGCGCCGGGACGGCCTCCTCCTCCGCCGCCGCTGTCGCCGAGTCACAGCCACGGAGGGCGCCGCTCGTCGCCGGCACCGAGCACAGCTGCGCGCCGCCGCCAGCGCCCAGGTCGGCCGGCCGCTGGCACTGCGAGACGGGCAGGATGCTGAGTCCCGATCCTGTGATGAGCGACCGCCAAACGGCATCCGGGAGGCCGCCACCTGCGCCCGCGGCCACCCCGGCCGGCTCGGCCTGCCTCTCCTCGCTTCCCGGGTGTACGCCGTGGGCGTCTTCCAGTCACTGATTCCAGGCGCTGGGTGTCCTCAGTCAGAGAGGCCAGGCGGAAGATGTCCACCGAGAGTGAGTCTCGGCGCCGGATCTCTTCGGCGGCGTGGGCCGGCGTCAGCAGGCCGTCCGGCGCCGCGTCCGACTCCGCGGGCCGGCCAGCCACTTCGGTCCGCTGGGTCAGCCCGAGCGGGTCTACAGTCTGTATGTCCGAGCTCCGCGTCTCTTCCGACGCCGCGTCCGCGCCTCCTGCCGCCCGCAGCACGCTGAGCTCCGCCGCCCGGTCCTGCCCGCGCCGGCTCCTCCACTCCCGCCATCTCCTTGCCCGCCGGGCCGGCCTGAATCGCGTCTCCGGCGCCGCCGGCGACCCCCGGCGGCCAGGCGGGCGACCGGGGTGCCGCCGGCCAGCACGAGCGGCCGGTACGGTGGCACGGCGGCGCCGCCCAGCGCCGGTGGATCATCGACCGCCTCAGACTCCTGCAGCAGCTCCGACTTTCACCTCGAAGTCCATCAGCAGCGGCGCCCGGCGCGGCCTCGGCGCCGCCGGCCGGCGACCAGCGTCGGCCGCGCCGGCTCCGGCATGTCGCCCAACGCCAGGAAGGCGGCGCACACCGGCTCGTGCAGCTTGCGCTGGTAGATGGACGGGCACACCTTGCCGCAGCCGGGGCACGTGGTGCGGCCCTGGTGGGCGGCGCGGTGGTGCGACCGGCTGCCCCAGGCCACCGAAGCACTGGCACAGCGAGCACCAGAAGCGGCGCGACGTGCGCAGCACGCCCGCCGGCGACATCTCCCGCTCTGTGATCCTGCTGCCGCCGGCCACGGCCTCCACCACCGTCTTGGCGCAGCCCTGCGGCAGCGCCACGCTCGGGCTGGCCAGACTCGGGTATGACGGGTACGGGTCGAGACGCGCCGGCGCCGGGCTAGTCCAGGTGGCGAACGAGGGCAGTGGCTCTCCGCGCGGCCGGACGAGGGAGCGCGGCTCCGCGCGAGGCCCCGGCGGCGGCAGCCGGTCGCCGCCGGTCAGCAGCGAGCGCAGCACGCCCGCCGGAGGGACGGGAGGCGGCGGCTGCTGAGCGCCGCCGCCTCCCGGCGGCACAAGCGGGGCTCGCTGCGGGACTCGCAGCGGCGCCCGCAGCGCGGCGCCCAGCCGGGCCGCCAACAGGGCCGGCAGCGGCTGGCGCTCGGGCCGCGCCGGCGGCCGTCACCTGCCGCACCAGCAGGCCTTGCGCACGCAGCCGCGCTAGCTGCTGGGAGAGTGCGGCGGCCGGCGGCGCGCCGTAGAGTTGGGTGGGCGCGAGTGCGCAGCGGCCGCGGCGCGCCCGGGTCGCTCCTCGCCGGCGCCGGCCGCCCACCTGGGAACGACGGCCGTCCGTCAGCACCCGCCGGCAGCGGGAGCGACCATCGGTGACCGGCGGCGGGTGGGACAGAGTCGGCCCGGGGAGCAGCCCAGAGGAGACGGCGACCGACCGTGTCCGGCTCGACCAGCCGAACCTTTAGCGGGCGGTGACAAACGCACGCCATGACGTGTTTCCCGCGACGACAGCGTTGTGAAGCCGTCGCCCCTTCCAGCGTCCCCACTGGGCATATTTCAGTTTCCTTACTGATGTCGTCGGGAGACAGCGCGAGACGATTTGTATAGAAAGTAGTTGTAAATAATTCCCAGATTTATAGACGTTTGAGTTGTCAATTGACGATGTCCGCTAGTCGTGCTTCAGTATAACGTGGTTCCGTATCAGTCATTTAGGGCCACAGAATTGTGAATTGCTACGAATGCCAATGATGATTATGATACGTTATAAATTGCACATGTCACTACAGATTGACTCATATCGTTTCCACAAATTCACATCATAATGCCGCGAGAAGTATTTAAACGAAAATTTACTACCTCACTGTGCCGTCGTGAGGTAGTAAATTAAATTTACTACGTCACTGTGCAGGGCCGTCTACCGCTCAGTCTGGTTGTGCTTACGACGCACCATGGAATAATAATGGTCTGATGAGAAGGGACGACCTCCGAACACCGCAACAAAATTCCTCGTCTAAAACATCTGCGTCCATTCTGGCAACTTAGAGTGCCACCACAATTCCCACGCATCAGAGGTCGGCGTTTGACAGCATTAGCGAAATAGCGCTACTACTTTCAGTGTGCTGCCTGTGACGCATATATTACTGCTCAGTTCGCGTATGCCCCAGCCTACAGGACGAAATGACTAACCAAAACTGGAGTCAATCTTGGCGTTCCCAAACGTTGCCATCTCGCTGTTTCTAACAAGCATGCAGCGACGTCCACGTGGAGTCGAATCAATCGCCGATCATTCTGGTGGTGTTTTTTGATACTCGGCACAGGACAAAATAGAGGGTTAGCTCTCTGTCCACCTGCAATTGTGTTCTCTCTGGCACGTAATGTTCGTTTCTGTTCTGTTTTTCTTTGTTTTACTTTGTTTTGTTCCGCAAGAGTTTTGCGGACGAATGGCATGCCTGCCTACTGGCCGAGCGCTAGGGCGTAGGCGGGCCTGTATCTGACAGACCATGCGCCGGCGTGGAACGCGCCTCCGCTGGAGAGCCGCGGCGCGGCGCGGCGCCGCCGCACTGCGCTGGGCGGGCGGCCGGCGGCTGCAGTGACGCCCCGCCGGCGGCCGGCGCGGGGGCCACCTGCCGCCCGCCGCCGCCGCCGCCCGGCTCCGGCGGCACACACACAGACAGACACACAGACAGACAGGCGCGGGGCCAGGACGTCCTTACGGCACGGCGGCCGGCGGCGGGCGGGGCCCGCAGCGGGGCGGAGTTCAGCGGAGTTCGGGCCGCGGGAACGTGCGGCATCGATTCCGCAGTCGACTGGTGTCATCTTATGCGCCGCCTGCTCAGCGTCCGCGTCACCGCGTCAAGACCGCCGCGTTTTGAAAGCTGGCGTCGGCAATGCATTAGTAATGGTCGCCTCCTCGTGCGACTCACGAGTTCGGAGTATGAACGACACCAATCGACCCCAGCAACAATGCCGGCGTTCACTTCCCCAGAAAGCCACCGCGGAAGGGCCACTCCCTGAACTCCCGTGGCTCCCGAACGGACGAGCCGAACGGTGACCGGACTACAGCCACTCAGCGAGCGGCAGGGACAATCAACCACCCTCGTGGCAGTCGTGCAAAGCTAACGGTTCCGCCGTCCGTGCTGTAAGGACGCCCCGACACGCGGGACACACGCCAGCGCCGAACAGATGGCGCGTCGCGTCGGACAGGCACAGCCTCCGACCAAGCACCGTCGCTCGCGGTCAAATGGCTGCCGGGACGAGACGGACTGAATTCATTGCGAAAGCGTGAGCAACTACTCGACGTTTTTTACCGGGCAATTCACTGGCGAGACGGACCTGACCCTCTCAGGCAGAGCGCACGTAAAGATAATTTTGAAAAAAAAATCAGGATGAATAAGCCCATTCTCGTCGAAAGAGAGGACAACAAGCCAGGTAATATCTACCAGATGAATGCAAGATCCCGCCACTTTTGCCGGGTCTGGAAATTCGGAGGACGGGCAGCCCGGCTGGTTACCAAGAACCCACAATTTAACAAGATGCAACGAGGACTGCCATCTAAAATGACCCGCATAATGGCGAACGCGAAGCCGTCCGCACAGACTCCCACACTCGACATCGCAGGGAGCCGGTACTTCGAGCTGGACCCGTGGTCTGGGTTCGGAGCACGCAGCCCCGGTCATTCCGCCACGTTTGTGACGTCACAGCCCGCCACATTCAGCTGACTGCGATCTCTGAAAGGCCGCCGACGGCTGCCCAATGAGCGCCAGCTGACGCGTGACGTCACGCCACGCGATCAATAGCGGCGGGACGCCCGCCCGCCAGACGACCGCCCGCGGGGGGATGGGGAGAGAGGAGAGGCGAGGCATGGCTCCATTTGACCGCGAGAAACAAAAGCGGCCGGCCTTGTTCCCAGAGATCTCGATGCTCAGCTACGCGGCCAGGTGCACCCCGACAACCTGCCCTTTCCTGCATCGCAATGCTTAAGTCAACCTGAAGCTAAGTGGATGAGCTGTCTAGAAAGTCTCCACGCCGGATTGTGAAAGTCGACAATCATAACTGCCTCCCGCCCCCACAACGCATGAAGCTACATTACCCCAACCGTGGCGGATGGTTGACCCACAATGCCTAGCAAATCACAGCACTGCACAGCACTTCCAACTACGGCCACAGCTACATCGAAATACTTTTTATGCTGAGACTACCGAATGTAAACCTAACGTTCACCAGGCCAACAGCCAAACCGAAAAGGTGGATTATTTCAAGGCGTGTTTAGACCGCAATAACACCAGCGGCAGTTCAACAGAATTGAACATCAACTGAATGACCGGACCCAAAAGCTCCAAGCGAGTTCACAAAATGCGCGGCGTGCAAACGAGAATATTCGGGAGGCATAGAATGTTTTTCTGACTATCTCAGTTTAAAAGCGCAAAGATAAAAGTAAAGACTCTAACCCCAAACCCATCGCGTAAACCAACAGCGCGCCATTCTTCAGTGTGACTGATCCAGGTCGTCAGCTGCATAAGCGGCTTCTAGGCGAATCGATGCATATTTTGCTATCGATAGCGACCAGAAGTTGCGTCTGGCACTTTGAACCTAAACCATCTGCCATAGCTGGCATCGCGACGGACTTTCGGAGCGTCTGTGAGGAGACCGAATCCATTCCATCCATGACCTGAATCTCTCAACATGGCCAGCGGTTCTGTTCGTGTCCGTTGTCGTCTCGTACTCCATATTTCGTTCACCCCAAAAATTTCGAGGAACGTCGTTAGCGAATGCGCGCTCACCTCACTGATGTCCAACGGTTATTTATCGCCATCCCCAACATTGATGTTTCATCAATCCGTGGCACAGAATTCAATCACCTGGCAAACTAACTTCGCCATGAAAATTCATGACCGTGCAAAAACCGTATCGATTTTATGCACCTGAGGGCCAGGATGACAGATGTACCGCCGTGTCAACCCAATATTCCTACTCGGCGCCAATGGCAACGCGCGTTCAACCTCGACCGCTAACAATAAATTAACCCCCGCAACACCACTAGACTTACAACTGTAGCTGAGCATCGGGACCTGGGAAGAAGTTCGGCCAGTGGAGAAATACATGAAATTGACCTACCTGGTGTTGCACTATCTGAGTGTTCTTGTGAGGGGAAGCTCGAAGGACCGGCGACAGCTGCCAAAAGGTCTGGAACAGACAGACACGACAGGTTTGCAACACGGTTCTCATTTAACAGCTGCATTTTTTCCCTAGCCTCACAGACCACTTTCACCAAAGCTTCAAACATCACCGGCACGCGCACACGGTGCACGGCACTCACACGTAGCTAGACCCAACACGCGCAGTCGAGGGGAAGAACGGCGCACGACTCACGCGCCACCACGGCCGCTCCGGGGGCGGCGCGCGGCTCCAGAGGCCGCGACCGAGCCGCCACCGCGCCCACTGACCTTCGTCCTGGAACTCGTGCGGCGGCGGGTGGGCGGGCGTGCCGCCCAGGAAGCCCATGTGCACATTGTCTGCGTCCGTGAGCAGCGGCATCACGCCGCTGCTCGAGCTGTTCTCGCCGCCGTACCCGTCACCATCAACGTCCTCCAGCACCAGCGGCTCCTCCTTGACGCACATGGGCTCGGAGCCGGGCCGCGGCGGCGCCGGCGGCGTGTCGAGCGGCGCTGCCGCCGGCGGCGGCGCCGACGGCTGTTGCTCCACGCTGCGTGCTCGCTTCGGTGAGAGCAGGCCGTCGGTGGACGGCGGTGGTGAGTGGGAGCGCTTGGGCGGTGGCGGTGGCAGCGGCGGCGGTGGTGGTGGCGGCAGCGCCGGCGCCGGCCGCTGCCGCACTGGTTCGGGTGATAACCGCGGAGGCGGCGGCGGCGGGGCGGACGGTGCAGACGACTTCGGCTTTCTTGGTGGCTGGCAAAGATGAGCAATGTGTGAGCGCACAGTGAGTGCCCGGCATAAACATCAACAGTGAGCTCCACACCAGGGTGCTGAAGTGCATGATGGCAATAGGAATTATTTAGATATGCTTCACAAACAAATTCCAAGCACAATGATAGTTTCTGGCAAGCACTGTGTGTGCACCTGGTCACAACGCACCTGCGCAAGGCTTATCAACTGAAACAGGCACTATTCTGGCGTCTCTGTCCACCCGGCATCATCTTACTCCATGTCCATGAGGCAATGCTTGTGGGTTCTCACCTCTGGTTGCGCTGGCGGTTCGTCATCACCTGTGAGACCTCGCACCTGGAGCGTCTCTGCAGTCTTCAGGAAGGAGCCCAACTCACTCTGGGCAACATTCACCTTGCCCCGGTACATAAATTCCACTATGTTGGCCAGGTCTTTGAAGGAAATATCCCGCATGAAGAACACTGGATGTGTTCCCAGATTACCCTGAGGGCCAGGAGACAAAGTCAGTTGAGTTCTGTTGAAGAATATCTTATTAGGATTGGTCCATTTTTGGATGCACACAGCTTTTTACAACACAGGATATTCCATAATGTTATTATCTATGATATGACAAAATGGCATAGGGTATTCCATGTTATCACTATGATATGACAAAATAATGCACATACCAATTCATTTAAAAATGTCTTGTAATCTGATCCGTTTAACTCACAGCACATAATGCAGCAGCATACAAAGTTCTCACCTTGAGAACATCCCTGAAGTATGGACTGCAAGCAGACAGCATCATTCTGTGCACTTTTATCTGCTGGCCCTGAGCACACAATGTCACATCGACCAGCTCTCCATCACGCCTAAGGTCATTAAAGAGGCTGGTCACACTTGTCTGGTAGCTGTTCCACTGAAGACAAAAGTTTTGCCCCTCATCCATCATGAGCAACCTGGAAACAAACAAAAACTATCAATACACACAAAAAGGCAGCTTTCTTGCAATTGTGGATGACAGTAAGCCCAAGACATTTTCTTCACCACAAATATACACCTACAAGAAAGTAAAAAATTGTTCTGTGTGAGCAACGTGAGATGAAGGCAGGCTGTTCCTGAAACTTCGACGGCATCGCGTGCCACACTCAAACCACAACTAAACGAGGGGTACTGCTCGCGGGTTGTAGCCGAATCACAGCCCATATCACACAATCTTTCCTGTCAATGCACTCAGTGCCCAGGTCCGTTGCTGCTCACCAGCACACGTTTAACCCACCTACCGTCCAACAATGACACCGACGCGCTCATACACCGGGCCCGAGCCCGCACCCAAAACAACAACGTCTATTGACGGACCAGGGGGAAGCGCAGAGAATATCTCGCACACGGTACGGTTTAACGTTTCTGGATTACACGTAGAAAGCATTATAACGCAAGAAAACTTGATACGAAAGTACATGTCATACTTACATGTACCTCTAAAAATAAGGTGAATTACTCATATACTGATAAATAAAGTATTTTCTATTCTTTTCATATAGCATTTTCATCAAAGCTGCACCTAAAACTATCAAAAATGGGCATCATACAGAACGTAAAATGGTGACGTCAAACACCATCCCAAACACTCGCTTGGGCACGCGGAAAACCACGGCTCTGCGAGTCTCCGGCTCTTGGGGAGGATTTAGCATTGGAGAGAAGGCATATTCTCCACCAAGAAATCCAAGCTCAAAATGTCATGAAAATGCATCAAACGGTCATAAAACAACAGTATGAAACTTTTTATCGATCTACAGAGCATTGCCACAGAATCATGATCTGGGTATAAAGCTAAAGCAGGGTTTCTTGTTCTCTGTTGGGCATAACTTTAACTGGTGTGTTTATATGATTATTTACATTTTTTTAGATTTACCTTTTATTTTGGCTGGGTTTTACCAACCAATATTTTTTCCAAGAAATAAGGTCCTAGAAAGCAATACCAAAACCGATAAACAACCTCCTGTTGCTCTGTCATTGAAGCCTGCTGTTGCTTGCATCCCAGTTATGTATCCAATGGACCTTGTTTTGGAGGAGATGCACAAGATAGTGTAAATGGTTGGTATTGTAGATAAAGGCCATATATAAATTTAGCTCAGTGTCATACACTTAGAGAGGTACTGTCTCAGACTCTCAACATCAGTGAGTAGATGCAGTGATACTCACTTTAGGCAGCTGGATTGTTCTGTGAGGAGGAAATAATTCCTCCACCCCTGTTGCGTTGGCCTCCGAGCCCCCATCACACAGCAGCCTGACGTCCCAGATAGTGTAGTTTTGTACATAACTTTGTGGATGGGGTGAGCAGAGAAATCCTTTATCCCAAACAAATGGTGCAAACCATGTTCTCCCTACTTTTGACCAAGTTTTTTTCTCAAAGTGGGGGCTAGCATCCTATCCAACTAAATAGGGAACTACACACCCATTCCTAAATTAAGTACATCTAAGTCAGAAACAGCCTAGGTAGGTATCACAATGCCCCAGAATCTTTCCTCCAGGTGAGAAAGCTTGTGCATTGGCTATAATGTAGCTGCGCTAACTATTACACCCCAGATGCTCCTATTTATATTGTGGCTTGCATATTTCAACAATAAATGTAGCACTATTTGCCCTGGAGAATGGCGCAATTGGTGCATAACATTGCAAGCATCTGCTTCTATCAGCATTTGTTGGGCCTGACACCTTCACAATAGAATTATCAATATCAGCAACTTTCCATAAACTCCAAAAAAACTACAGTAGGTGCAAGCATAGACTTAGGGAAGGAAGCACTAACTTAGGAAGCTAAAAAATTTAAGAATTGCAAGCAGCCAATTTGTAATAGTCTTTGGCAATCACTGACACCAGCTAGAGCATGGTGTTTACTGTCATCTGCTGCCATAGACAGTTCTTTAGTGCCAGCTGTGGATGCAATACACATTCTCTTGGGTTACTCTGTTCTCACTACAAGCCATAATCTTAATATTTTTGTTCTCTTCCCAAAGAGCCAAAACCAAATTTTGGATACTGTGTGAGCATGGCATGTGATGCTGCAGAAGTTTCAGGAACAGCTTGCATTCATCTGACATTGCTCAAACAGAACAATTTTTCATTCTTTGCATAGTATATTTGTGGAGAACAAATGCCTTGGGGCTAAAAAAACAGAAGCACCAAGTTTCAGACAATGTGGTTGTTGTTGATATTTATTGGAGTTTAGGGGCGCGCCAACTGCAGTGGTCGTTTGGCGCCCATAACGTGAGTTTCAGACAATGATTGCCAATGTCAACAACTGTCTATTAGCTTCATAGCCTCAACAAATAAAGCAGGTGTGAGCATAGACTTAAGAAGGAAGCATTTACTTAGGAAGCAAGAAAATTTCAGACTTAAAAGCAGCCAATCTCTAATGATTTTTGGCAATCACTTGATCAGTGATGATGATCTAGCAGCACGGTGTTTACTGTCATCTGCTACCAAACAATGTCCTTCAGTGCCACCTATGAATAGAGTGCAAATTCACCTGGGCTATTTTGTTCTCACTACCAGCCATGATTTTACAACTTCTGTTCCCTCCCCAAGAGCCAAAACCAAATTTCAGACACTGATACAAATCCAGCACCTAAGCCTCGGACGACGTAACGCGACGGTCCCGGCATAGCACAACGCGAATGCATGGCGTCTTGTCAATTAAGAAACTCATTTTTTCAGTTCAATAACACAATCACTGAAAATGTGGAACGGTTCCAAATACGTGCCAAACTGGAGCCATTATCCAACACGACGAAAAACAGCACGATAAAACACCATTACTTAAACGAATACACCTACCTGGCGTTAAATTCCTGTACGTCATGCGCCCAGTTGCCCCTGCTACGCTTGCAGCTACCGCCCGGAACAAAAAGGATGGCTAGTTATCAAATATAGCGCAAAATACGCAGAGTTCCCTACGACCACACCAACCGCAACGCGCCGACGGCAACGACGCCGGACGCCGGTTGGAGACACAAAATGGCGCGACTCTCATGCCCTCAGGAGAATTGATACGGTGACCAATCGGTACGAGGGACGGTCTGGCAAAATGTTTAAAACCAAGTTTTTGTTATTGAAATAACTTTTTAGCTCTGAGAAATAACTTGATTATCATACTTATAAGCAATTTATCAATAACCACAACCACATCAGGGGAAGCATGTTCGATACCGTTCAGCAGAAGCTGTTATGCTTTTGGTGACGTAGAAAGCCCGTTTTTGAGTGGTGGTATCATAATTTTGTACCAAGTTCAGTTTCCTTTACCTTATCTTGGCAGTATAGCAGCTATCAGTAGGTTGCTTAAAGCAAGGTCATCGTGCTTAGCAATTCAAACATACAAGAATCTAAAGACCTATGAAGTGCAGCCATGTCCAGTATGCATAGCAATAAATGGCAAATGCGTTAATGCTACTGAATTTGTCATCGTTCTTGGAGACTTCTTTTCTTGTACAAAGCTGACGGTAAAATAAGTGAAATTAGCGTGTATCCTATCATGAAAGGTCAGTGCCACCAACATCAGCTGGCTGGCCTTGACTTGCTCCCTTGGGCCTTGAAATGTAAACAAACCAAGTTAATAATCTAGCCAGAGCTTCCCCACTGTTTGCGCGGTTGCGGGGCCGCAGGGTTGTTTATTCGCCAGGCAGAAGAATAAGTACATCTGGCGCCCATTTGCAACTTCCTCAGAATTCAAAGAAGCTGTGTGGAGTACGCCCCTACCAGTTATAACGGGGGCAGGGCAACAGATCGTTATGCTCGGATTGGCATTAAATATGCCTGGTACCTAGGCAGCATTGCTTTTGAAAACAGCCCTACCCAATGTGGTTGAGTACAAGACTGTAAAATAATTAATTCCCATGTTCATGATAAGCCACAGATATGGCTGCTGCTGAGGCCTGGACATTCACATCCAATCTGCAAAATGATCACGTCTCACTTTTGCTTTTTAACTCAGAAGATGAGACGTACCTGTTTAGAGATGTGCAAGAGAGGGAGAGCATGCATGGGACATTCTTGCCTGGAGGGCCTACTACTGTGGCACTGAATACATGGAGTAAAGTGGTTCAAAACAAGCTCAATGAGGTTTGTAATTGTATGCATGTAGACCCTCACTTAGAAGCTGTGCTGTTGTCCTGAAGTAATATTGGGTTAAAGGCAGACAGGCGCATGTAGTCAATAGTAGCTGGGTGGTATTTTTGGTCATTTTAGGTGTTTTGAGCTCAAAGCTTGGAAAGGCAAGCATAAACTTCATGATATTTACATACAACCCTAAGCATAAATTTGAGTATTTTGCCTATGTTGATCATATCTATAATTATGAAGATAAACATTATTATAAGTATTGCATAATATATTGATGTATGCCTGCAACATATTGTGATATTTATGTTTAATGAAAATCTGCTCAAGTACCAATTATGATGTTTTCTAGACATTGGACTATATGTGTATGTGCCATGACTATGCCTCATACAAGAGGGCTGAAGTTCTGTTTTATTTCCAGCTCATTGGTTCTTGTGATATTAGCCCTCAACTGCTCAAGATCCAGAGATTTTTCATCCCGTGCTTGGCCCGAGCAATCAGCCATGTTGTCTTCTACATCAAAGTTAATAACAAGATCAAAAACAAGACTAAGGTATTTTTTAGATTCATTATGGTTTCAAGAGCTATGCTATAATGTATGCTTGTTTTGCTCTCCATGGATGTTTTTCCCTCCATCATTTTTTGCCACCTACATGTCAAAATATAGCACATTATATTAGCATCATGCATGGTTTGTTTGCCAATATTCATTGTCTTTGAGCCATGTTCTTTGCACCTTTCCCTGCCTACTCTGTGAAACAGAAATTGACTAGTAGGGTTTGTTTTGTAACATATTAATGATAGGATCTGGAATGAATAGCATGCATTGTCTGTAGTCACTATGATCATATAAGCAAATTTTTAAGTGAATGTGGCCAAAGGAGTCAGGCTGGGGGGAGGTAGCTATGCTGCATCATTGCTTGCCACAGTAAATGTTATAACATAATTTATTCATTGAGCTGCAATCTGGGGAGCTGGGCTGGTGACAGCAGGTTATGATTCAGTACCAATTCCATCCTTCCAAATTGTTTTGTGCCTTGCTCTACATATTTCCTACAGCTAGCATAAACATACACAAATAGGCTCACAGCATCAAATACACAAGACTCTGCCACTTGAATATCCAGCCCGCTTTGTGTCAGAGCCATGTTGTCTGTCTGACCATACGCATTGCATACAGGTAGTACACATACAGGTAGTTTTTTTTTAACTGAGTAGCAGTTGAGGTGATGAAGCCAGGTATTTGGCTCTGAAGCCAAATCTGAGACATAGACAGTGGTATGGGATCAAAGTTAAGCCAGAGGCTGGTTGCTTTAAGTTGCAGAGTGAAAGCAAAATCAAAGCAAATGCCTGCATTTTTTCAAGAATGCAAAGCATTTTTGATGCTTTTTAAATGTAGAGCCAAATTCCAAGGCAGTGACTTCAGGCATTGTGCACACTAAGATGGAGCATAAATCAGCAGCATGGAACTTCAGAAACAAGAAGTCAACAGAGCCCATCACCTTGAAATAATGAGATGGAACCCCACCCAAGTCGAGCACCAGTAGTGTAGTGGTTAACTACGTGCCTGGGAAACCAGAGGTACCGGCTTTGATTCCCTGCGGTGCCCACCCTTCCTGCCAGGGTGAGAGGCAGGTGACGCCATATGGCCTCAGTAGCTGAGTGCGTCGTAAAGCCCCAATGACACACACACACACTGACACAACCCCACCCAAGTCAAATCTGGTGTACAATGTGGCATTGTGAAACTGAAGTCATTTTTGGGTCTGTCTAGCACTAAAAACTGGTTTTCAGACTGTTATTTTTTTGCCTTTTGATGTTAATATATTCATAGCATTTCAGATAGTTGTGTACTGACTGATAGCGGGTGTTCATTGGTCATGAGGATGACCAGGGGATTTTTAGTTTTCAGCCATGCAAGTGCTGCAGCCACAAAAAGTTTGCCATTTTGTGTTGATACAACCAGCAAGATTTTGTGGCTAAGAGTTGCAACTGAAGGGAAAAAATCCCCGACAAACCCGAGGTCTTTATTTGAAAATTGTTTGAAGCTCAAGCCAAAGCCAACTGTGAAAAATAGTTCCAAGCCCAAGCTTACTGAAGCCATTAGGGGAAAACCTGGGTTTTGAGAAGCAGAAATTGGCTCTGTCCCCATGCCTGCTCTTGAGACGTTGTTGCCGCAGGACTCTTCCTGAACCTTACATTTGTGGATGCCTAAAAAGCCCCACATTCTGGGATGCCAGGAACCATTATGTTCTACCCTTGTATCTAGATGTTTGTCCTGAAGCTCATTGAATTTAGCAGGACGTAGCTTATGCAGCAGTTCACCAAAGGCACGAGGAACGCATTACATGTAGAGTTCCCCAGCTGCTGGTGATTATGCAACAGCGCGGCAGAGGCATGTGAAATAGGCAAGGCAAGGCAAGGCACTGTGTGTCAGTCACCAGACCATTTGTATCTCAACACTGTACAGAGCCATGCCGGCTGACGTGCGCTTGCGACCGCTGACATCCGCCGCCGCCTGCGCCAGGTCAAGCCGCTGCTGCGCTGGATGACGCCGGCTCAGGTGCGCGCGTGCGTGGCCGAGGCACGACTGATGGCCAGCCCCGAGGTGCTCGAGTACCTGCAGCTGGCCGAGGCCCGCGAGCAGCCCACCAGCTCAGGTGCGCACCAGGTCACGCTGGACGAGAAGGGCGGCGGCTACATCTACGTGCTGGCCGAGGAGCGCGCTGTCAAGCTGCCGCACGAACACCTGCTGGAGGCGGCCAAGTTCTTCAAGCAAGGTGAGTGGAAGAGGAGCTTTGAGCTCAGAAAGGCTTCCCATGCGCTCTGCGTCGTGCCTGTTCGATTAATAAGGTAGCTTTGTCTGTGACTGCCACACCGTGTGGTCCGGCAGATTGAGTACTCGCCACAGGCCGGCATCACCTTGCTCGGGCATGCATTTGTCAATGGTTTAGTATTCTGATAGCTGGCGATTGGCAGTCATCTCAGTTTGTATTTCCCGTGTGTGCTGATTTCAGTTTTGTGGGTGATGTCGGAATCGCGGATATGTTGGTTGTGAAGTATCGAGCACTTCTCAGCTACGTGGCCTTCCCACAAGACTGGGGCTGATTTATGATATACTAGTTGTACATCCATTGTAAAATGCATGTGTTTGGTCATACTTAACAAATTATTTGACTTGATTTTCCTTGAAACGAGCAAAAAATCGTCATTCTGAAGGTTAGTTTTCAGTCGCAACAAACCTGGAGCCCTTGAAATGATGGCATCGTTCTGTTTTGTTCAGGGTGGAACCACGGGGAAATAACCGACGCGTTAGTGAAGGTATCTCAGCCCCCTCTTGCTCCCTTTGCGCTCGTGTTCAATCCTACACTTTGCGGCACAAGGAGAATAGCTCCAAACAAAATAAAAGAACGTCAGTTGAATATGAAAAGTACACCGCAGCGTATTTATGATTCAGTTAAAGCGGATTTTGCGGTAGGTCCCATTCCTTTAACACGCGCCCGGGTGGCCGGCCAGATACCCTTCGCTCGGGTGGAGGGGTCAATTTGACCCCCCCCCCTCGAGATCTCGGGAACTAAGGTAGCTAGAGACACCAAATTTACAGGGCGTCTTGACCTGTACGTGAACTCACTTAGCTTTAAGTTTGAGTTTCCTAGGTCATGATCCTCAGGTCAAATAAGGTGAAACAAGGTCAAATTCCAGGTTGGTCTCCAAAGTGCCCCAGAATTTAGTCAAGTGTTTGTAAGCAAAAGGCCGCCAGCCCATTTGAGGCTAGTGACCTTGTTTGACTTTTTGAAGGTCATGGTGACCAAAATCATGCAAGGCCGCTTTGAGTTTTGCATTTGAATAAGCGACAAAGACTGCGCCAGGCAGTATGTTCCTAAAACAAAATGTCTACCTGGGTCATCTTAGGTCAGTAACCTGTTCTGACCTCTAAGAAGTCAATGAAAGATGTAAAATGCCGTTCCCATTGTCAGTAAATTTGAAATGAGCACCAGAAACTATCCCATACAGCAGGCCCTAGAGTAATAAATCAGGTTGGTTGTGACCTTGGTCTGACCTTCATACATGACCTTAGGTCAACGTGATCTACTCATTCAATATTTGTGGTGCCTAAGAAAGCATCTCAGAGATATATGGCTTCGTCAAACACTCCGTTGTTGTATCAGATTGAACGGTTCCGTAGAAATTGCCTTCGCCGAAACCATGACCAGAATTTGACCTGCCATAGGTCAGCGACCTTACAAGGTATGCCCTATTTTTTATTTAAATCGATCCGCTATTCAATTGTCTACAGCTATGACGCCGCGCCGTTCGGAAACCATTTTGGAAGAACCTTCGGGGGTCAATTTGACCCCCCCCCCACACGAGCGCGTGTTAACATGAGCTTGGGGAAATGGGTGGGGAGGTCAATCTGACCCTCAACGTTTTTTTTTCTGAACAACTTGCGAACGGTGCGGCATAGCCGCGCCGTACTTGGTACGGCTGTTGGCAATTCAGTAGCCGACCTTTCGCTTTACAAATGTGATATTCCTCGTAAGATCATTGACCTAAAGGTCAAAGCCAGGTCGTGGTTGTCATTGAAAGCACCTCCTTGGAAATTGTTCTTATGAGAAAAGGGCGTGTTAGGCGAATTCATACGTCTTTGAGGAGGTTTTTTTTTAGACAATAGGAGAGTTGAATTTAGGATTACGGTTAATTCCATTGACTGAGTCAGGTATGAAGGTCAGATCGAGGTAAAAGCCAAACCGCTTTATCGCTGGAAAACGTGAAATGAGGAAGTTTTTGACGCCAATTCCCTTTTCAGGAGCATGCTGCCTAGGGTAGTTCTTTATGCTGATTTCGAGTTTAAATGTTAAAACAATCGCAAATATATCGAGATTGAATGTGGTTGTATGAAGACTGGGAACACTTTAAATATCGATCTTAAGTTCGGTTTTGTTTTACCTTTGTGACCCAAAGGTGACGAGCTAGGAGCTTAGAAATTTTACACAAGCAAACGTAGATTGATTGAAACTTACATTGATTACATGGCGAACTTACTTACAAACACCACATACCTTGAGACTTTGGTGTCTGGCTCTCATTTAAATCCGTGGAGCCAAATTGACCCCACACTCACCCCTCCCCCCCTCCCCCGATTGTGCTCAAACCTTCATCCGGGCCCGTGTTGAGGTTAACCTGCTTAGTTGATAGCCATGCTCGATACGTTACATTTTGGTCTCCTCGCGACTTGATGTCAGCATGCATGTTTCCAGTTGCCAAGTCTACGACGCTGCCAAGCGACAGCTGCCGCTCGTAGGTCTGTTTGACCTGTGAAACCAGCTGTCTGTGTGATGTATGTCTTGCTGCATCTGATGCATCTCGGCCTCGGTCTGGTCTGGGCCTTTTCAGAGCAGGGTCTGCTATACGAGGAGTTTGTGCGGCGCTGCTTCCCCTGCCTGTTCATGAACTTCTCGCGATTCTCTGATCTTGTGCAACATATTGGCTGGGAACAGTCGACGCATCAGGACCTGTTCAGGTAGCTGCATGCGTTTGTTTAAGCTGCCGTCCCTTCCACTGTCCTTGAGCTGTTTGTCTTGCTACGCCTGGCGTCGCACTTTGGGTTATCTGTCATTGTTTTTTTGTACTCCCACTAGACCTCTGTTTAACTGGTATGGTTCTTCCTGAATGCTATCGCCCTGCGTTCGTCATAGCATGCTCATATCATCCTTCCTTGGCGGTATGGAACATAAGTTGAATTGAATTAGCAGCCATTTTCGCTTTGCTCTGACTTTGAACTTGGATGCATGTCGGAGAAGAAACAAATTTCCGAAGGGCTTTGTTGTATTCGTACGCCTGTGCATGCAGTGATGAGACGATGTGGGTCGAGATTCTAGATGGTCGTAGACGGTCCATGAAAGTTGACTGGAACCATGTATACAAATACAGTACACTTCACGTAAATGTACGTACCTTTCGTTCTTGCGGCGGACAGCCAAACAGCTGTGGCCAGCTGTCGGGCGGGCTGTGACCGGGACACCTGTGACCGGGACGGCTGTACCGGGGCGGCTGTGACCGGGCACCTGTGACCGGGGTGCCGGCCGTGTTTGCAGGAGTCTGGACTCGCAGGGGCGCGGCGCGCTCACGTACCGTGACCTGCTGTTCGGCCTGGCCGCGCTGGAGCCGTGCACACAGCACGGCGGCCCGCCCGCCGAGATCCGCTGCCGCTACATCTTCAGGTGGGAGCCAGGGTCCGCGGAGCAGGGTCCGCTGCCGCTATATATTGGTGGGAGGCCATGGGTACGCTGACGCGATACATCTTCAGGTGGGAGCCGGGTCCGCTGCCGCTACATGTTCAGGTGGGAGCCAGGGTCCGCTGCCGCTTCACATCTTCAGGTGGGAGATCTTCAGGTGGGAGCCAGGGTCCGCTGCCGCTACATCTTCAGGTGGGAGCCAGGGTCCGCTGCCGCTACATCTTCAGGTGGGAGCCAGGGTCCGCTGCCGCTACATCTTCAGGTGGAGCCGAGGTCTGCTGCCGCTACATCTTCAGGTGGGGGCCAGGGTCCGCTGCCGCTACATCTTCAGGTGGGAGCCAGGGTCCGCTGCCGCTACATCTTCAGGTGGGAGCCGATATTCCCACCGCGACATCTTGAGAGCCGAGATCTAGTGTCGCCACATTCAGGTGAGTCGGGGGACCGAGACCGAGATCTTGTTGGCGGATGGTGTGTGCTGACGCGGGTGACGTAGGCCGTGCGGGGTTAAAGATCGACTTCAGGCTGGTGTGAAGATCCAGCAGAGAACGTCTATGCACGCACTGACCCGAACGGAGGGACAGACGCAGTGCGGGAGCAGAGGATCATCCGGGGCCTTTCTGTCCTGTCACTTAAATCACGGCTCGTTTCGGTGGGATAGCTGAATGTGGAATGCACTGACAAAGCCAACGGCGGTACCAGTAAGCCAACGCCAGGTGCGTTTCAGGTACTACGACAGGGACAACGACGGCCGGCTGGAGTTCTCCGAGTTCCGCCAGATCGTGACCGACATTCGCCGCTTCAAGGGTCAGAGCGTCAACAAGGAGGAGCTGGTGCATGTGACGGAGCAGAGTGCCAAGTAAGTGACATGCCGGCGGTTACGTGACAGTTCAGGGCCCATGTGAGGGGCCATGTCTGCTGTCACGTGACGGGGCAGAGCATACACTTGTGCGTGCATTGCCTCCGTCCACGTGACTAGGCAACGGGAGGCTGTTTGTCTGTCGCAGTGTCGACAGCTAACGCGCGGAAAATTTTCGCTGAAAACAGTGGGAGTTATCTGCCATTTTGGCAGGTGGGAGGATACGAGCTCCGTATCACCCGTCAAAAATTGGCATCGGTGACATTGTTGAGTTCACCGGAGTGATGCCTATGGGATGTTTGCTATGACAGTTAACCACAATGGAGCAGGCACGTGGCACGAGTGCATTGTGTTTACGTCAACGTAGCGTGCTTTCATGCCGGAGCTGGTGATGCGGGTCGTGCGTTAGCTGCTGAGTGCCGGCTTCCGAGCTGCGTCTGTTCACTCCAGCTGTCAGTGCAGTCAGCTGAAGACGCCAGCCGCGCCATGGCAGGTGTGCTTCGGTGCCGCCCGTGCCGCGGACCCGCTGTTCCGCCGCGCGCCGAATGCCGCGCCGTCAGAGCCGCGCGCCGCCGCGCCGCGCTGTACCCGGCGCGCGGCGTCCGCTGCCGGTGGTCGCTGACAGGGCGCCGCCGCGTCATCGGCAGGGTGTTCGGTGCCGAGTCGAGCGAGTACCTGACACTCACCGAGTTTCTGACCGGCGTCGGTCAGCTGAAGTTCCGTGGCACGTCGCTGTTGCTGCGCTCGCCCCAGTCGGCGCTGGGCTACCTGCGCCGCGGCGGGTGAGTGGCCGGCGCCGCCCGCGGCTGCTCTGTCCGGCGGGTGAGTGGCCGGCGCCGCCCGCTGCTGCTGTGAGTGGCCGGCGCCGCCCGCTGCTGCTCTGTCCGGCGGGCGAGTGGCCGGCGCCGCCCGCTGCTGCTCTGTCCGGCGGGTGAGTGGCCGGCACCGCCCGCTGCTGCTCTGTCCGGCGGGTGAGTGGCCGGCGCCGCCCGCTGCTGCTCTGTCCGGCGGGCGAGTGGCCGGCGCCGCCCGCTGCTGCTTCTGTCCGGCGGGTGAGTGGCCGGCGCCGCCTGCTGCTGCTCTGTCCGACGGGTGAGTGGCCAGCGCCGCCCGCTGCTGCCCTGTCTGGCGGGTGAGTGGCCGGCGCCGCCCGCTGCTGCTCTGTCCGGCGGGCGAGTGGCCGGCGCCGCCCACTGCTGCTCTGTCCGGCGGATGAGTGGCCGGCGCCGCCCGCTGCTGCTCTGTCCGGCGGGCGAGTGGCCGGCGCCGCCCGCTGCTGCTCTGTCCGGCGGGTGAGTGGCCGGCGCCGCCCGCTGCTGCCCGTCAGTGACCCGACGGCGCACCGGCTTCGGCACAGGCAGGCGCACTAGGGCGGGAGGCGGAGCTCGCCACCGGAGACGCGAGACCCTTGTTTAAGGGAATTGGGGGGGGGGGGATGATGGCGTCCGTAGAAAACAGTTAACATGTTCTTTAGTTGTTCATGCTCATGGTACGCAACATCCCACGCAAGCACGAAAGGATGTTGGATTTCGGTGGAAAGCAATTTAATTTGCCTCCCAAGGATTGTTCTATGCGTGTTTTTGACTGATTCCGGCAAAACGGCCGACAAATTTACCACACCCAGACTTGCGTCGCCCCGTCTGGGCCTTCTGCTTTCCACGTCCCTGACCGTGGGCTGTGAAGCCTGCGGCGGCACGTGACTGACGGGGTGTCACCGACCGGCAGGGGCGCCGGCGGCGCGGCCGACGCCCCTGCGGCTGTGCCCGGCGGCCGGCTCTCGCCACGTCCGTCGGCGCAGTTCGACCGCTCCCCGCTGCACCGGTCCGACGGCGGCGAGAGGGTCGAGGACGGTGAGCGAGCGAGCGGTGCCCGGTGCCGGGATGGGCACTGGGGCGCGGGCGCGGGCACTGGCGCCTCTGCTGCTCACGTGGTGGAGAGGCGTGTCGTTTGAGCGTGTTTGGTTGGCGCTCTTGCCCTGCGGTGATGCTGCCGTCGGTGCGCAGCGTCCTGCGCCGTGCGCGGTACGCATCGAGTGACGCGTCCGTGCAGAGACTTGCCACACGTCTGTGTTCTGAGCGACCTTCTGGCACTGAAGGGTCTGCCGTAATGTCATCAGTTCGTCTGGAGTGGTGCCGTGCAGCCGGTACGTTGGGCCGCGGTTGCTGCGGCCCGCCTGCCGGAGTCGTGCCAGTGCGGTCCGCTGGCGCTGTGTGTCGCTGTGCGGTCCGCTGGCGCTGTGTGTCGCTGTGCGGCGCCGGCCGTGGCACCCCGCCTTCGCTGACCACCGGCCCCGCCGTGCCGCAGTGTCGGTGGTGGATGGCGCGTTCTTCAGCCCTCCCGGCGGTACCGAGGGCACCGAGTACGAGCTGGCCACGCACTCTGTGCGCGTGAAGCGCACCGGCACGCTTCTGGACATCAACGCCCTCTGGGACATGGAAGGTGGGGCGGCGACGCCGCAGGCCCGGCCAAGCGGGTCGGCAAGGATAAATGTAGGACTGTCTGCAGGCTTTGAAAATGTATCGGTGCGCAGAAACTCAAGTTTGTCTTTTGCATTGTCGATTTCCCTCTTAACCTAAGAATTGATTTGCCAACCGGAGACATTCACAATGAAATGGTGGCCTGTCGTTTTCGAAAAATATTATTTCGATCTTAACTCAGTCAAAACTCGAATGATTTGTATGTGCATAACATTACTGTTCACTCAGTGCCTGCCGTTATTGACATTGTTGGGATCCGGCCAACGAGGCGTCTGGCACTTGTGCCACATCTCACCCAAGCCGCTAAGTTAGGTCCATCACCCACGACTGTCATACACGCCTCCAGCCCACGCGCCTCACTTATGTCTCCATCTGACGTACCTATGACGTCTCCATCCATCCCGTATGTAACCCACGTACCTCTCCCACGTGTCAGGCCCATGCAGCTCACCGACACTTGACCCTACGAACCGCGTTCGCGTATAGCTGACCTACGTACCTCGCCTACGTACCCAGCCACGTCTCTCACTCATGTTTTTAAGCCACGTCTCCAAGAGATGTGCGTTGTCCGCGTCCCCAACACACGCACCTCAATTACGGCTCTGGTGCGCGCACCTCGCCCACGGCTCTGGTCCGCGCACCCTGGCGGCGCCTCTGACGGGCGGTTCTCTGTGCAGACACGTCAACCATCTCGGCCTCCGCCCGGCTCAACAAGAAGATGCGCTGGGAGCGTATCTCGTCCGTGGACAGTTTCAACCAGAAGTCGCAGCCCAACGAGATGCTGAACGGACTGCGCTATTTCGAGCGGCCCGTGCGCGCCGACCAGGCCAGCGGCAAGCACATGCCCAAGGAGGCCTTCCACTGGGGAAACGTGAGAGAAGGCGGGCAGAGCCGCCCGTCGGAGTGTCACGGATTCTACGGTCGGTCAAACAGGACGGACGCTAGTTCAGGGCTGTCACGTGAACGGGCTGTGGCTGCGCAGTAGGAAGCTGGGTCAATTCGAATTGCCGTTTAGTTAGCGTCTGGATGAGTGCCCTGGTGGATGTGTTAAGATTCATATCCTTTCCTTTACTCCGCTGAATGGTGTGAAGAGCTCGGGAGCTTGAGTCGCCTAGGAAGCGTATCAGGAGTCGTATTCTTTGAAAGTCGCCAACGTATAGAATGCATTTGCCCTGGGTATAACCGGCTTCATTCTACCCATATATGTGATCAGATTGCATCGCGGTTATGGCGGTATGTGGCATCTAAAGCCGAGTGTGCTTCGATCCCTGCCGTCCGCGATCCACGGCGTCATTCCGCGTGTTACATGGGCAGAGGCACCGACCGAGCACCACACAGAGCTGGTGCCGCCCCGGCTCTGCGATCCACGGCGTCATTCCGCGTGTTACATGGGCAGAGGCACCGACCGAGCACCACGCAGAGCTGGTGCCGCCCCGGCTCTGCGATTCACGGCGTCATTCCGCGTGTTACTTGTGCAGAGGCATCGACCGAGCACCACGCAGAGCTGGTGCCACCTCGGCTCCGCGATTCACGGCGTCATTCCGCGTGTTACATGTGCAGAGGCACCGACCGAGCACCACACAGAGCTGGTGCCGCCCGCGTGGCCGTTGTCTCCCAGGCCTGTTGTGACCTTGCCGCGCCCTCTCGGCACCCTAGCCCGCCCGTCTGTGCGTGCCGGCCCCGGATGGTCGTGTCCTGCCGCACCACGTGACCGAGCGCCGCCGCCGCCGCTGCCGCCAGGTGGACAAGGCTGTGCTGGCCAAGTGTCTGCTGCAGATCTGCTACCTGGTCAAGGACATCCTGACGCAGGAGCCGCGCCTGCTGCAGCTCAAGTCTCCCTGCTACATCCTCGGTGGGTAGCGGGCCGATGGCGCGGCTGAGGGGCACCGGTTCCGCGTGGGCTGGGGCTCGACGGGCCCAGAAAGCGGACGGGAGGAGTGGCCACGCGGCTGAGAGGCGCCCGCCCCGCGTGGGCTGGGGCTCGACGGGCCCAGAGAGCGTACGGGAAGAGTGGCCATGCGGCTGGGGGCGTCGGGATGCCGGCTCCGTGTGGTCTGGGGCTCGACGGAGTGGACGGCAGGCGGTGGCTGCCGCTGGGTGTAGGCTACCCACGGCTTCTGGGGGGAGGGAGGGGGGGGGGGTGCTGTGAGTCTTGTTAGCGCTTGAAAAGTGGTGGTCGGTTCGAAAGGACAACGGCACGCGATGTGCGGCTGCTGCTGCTGTGCTGTGCACCAACAGAGCTGTCTGTATTCGTAGACTACTCACCATAGACAAGACGTCTCCCTTGTACTAGTGGGGTCAGTACACGTCCCTTGCCCGTGTTTTGCACGTCCTTTGCCTTCGTCTGTTGCCCCCCTCTCGCGTCTTTTGGGCTCTCTAGTTAGCAAGCACCTCCCCGTCGTGTCCCGCGTCTCACTGCCTGTGCGGCGTCGTAGGTGACATCCACGGCAACTTCGAGGACCTGGTGTGCTTCGAGAAGGCGCTGTGGCGGCTGGGGCCCCTGCTGACGCCGGCCAGCTTCCTCTTCCTCGGCGACTACGTCGACCGCGGCGCGCACGGCGTGGAGGTGACGCTGGCGGGCCGGACTGGTCCGGGGCGGGAGGGCGCTGATCGGAGCAGCGTCGATGGATACCCCGGCACTGAATCGCTGCAGTCTGGGCTGCGTTGGTGCTCTCTCGAGGGCTGGTGCACACCGAGGCCGAACTGGGCTGAGCCCCTGGGCTGGGGCGTGTTGGGTCACTGGCCTGACCTGGGATGGGGTGGGACGGTCGTAGGCTGGACTGAGCCCCTGGGCTGGGGCGTGTTGGGTCACTGGCCTGACCTGGGATGGGGTGGGACGGTCGTAGGCTGGACTGAGCCCCTGGGCTGGGGCGTGTTGGGTCGCTGGCCTGACCTGGGATGGGGTGGGACGGTCGGAGGCTGGGCTGAGCCCCTGGGCTGGGGCGTGTTGGGTCGCTGGCCTGATCTGGGATGGGGTGGGATGGTCGGAGGCTGGGCTGAGCCCCCGCATCCGGGGTGACTTCGAACAAAACGCCCCCTAAGTGGAGCCCGGAGCGTTCTTTGGTTAGCCACCAAACGCAGCTTTCCTGGCAGGTGAGGCGACGGCCCGGACTGCTGCTTGCCGGCTCTCCGTTTGGGCGGACTTAAACAGTGGCTTCATTGCGGCAGCTACTTACCAGTTGAGAGTGTTCAGCAGGTCTGCTGCTGTTTGTTTATCCGGGCCCTTGTTGTGTAGGACTTTTGTGGCAGACGGTGCGGTCCCGCCTGCTGGATGCTGATGGGTAGCTGGTTGTCGGCGCTCAGTTGTGCCCCGCTGTCGCCAGGTGGTGGCCTACCTGTTCTCGCAGAAGCTTCTGTGCCCCAACAAGTTCCACCTGCTGCGCGGCAACCACGAGGTGCGCGAGATCCAGCAGACCTTCACTTTTCACAGGTCGGTGCCGGGCTGGCGTGGAAGCCTCGACCTTTTGGGAGGTGCAGGTCGTCTTGGTCACCGGAGGGGAAGGGGTCGGTACCCATCTCAAAGCCGTTTGGGCCGACGGTGTTAAGCCCGGGCGGACGGCGCTCGGCGGTCGGTGTCTTACGGCCGGCGAGCGGACTGTTGGTGAACGAGCGTCAGCCCTGAGATTTTCAGCTGTGATCTGGAACTTAACGGCTGCTGGGCGGGTCCTGGGTCTGCTGATACTGGGGTTGGGTGGGTCCAAGGGCCCGCTAGCCGTGTTTTGTGCAAGTCGGCTGTGAGTGTTGCGGGTTCCTGAAGTTTGGATGGAGGCCGGATGTGGCGCAGCGCCACCCGCGCGCGTCCAGCTAAGTCGGCGACCCACGGGAAAAGCATCGAAGTTTCCCAAAACAGACTCGAAGACGCCCTTATTCCGCGCGCGATGTCTTGTAGTGCGGTGACGTGCAGGACGGTAGATCCCCCCCCCCCCCTTCCCTCCCTTGACAGACGTGTCAAGTATCACGGGTCCTATTGTCTCGTGCGAAACATCGATTGGTTCGTCGCAGAACTGCAGTACATTTCTAAAACTGAAATTTGAAACAATGCTACGTCCAACAGGTGTTGCAGCAATCAGGGAAAGTCATCAAATTCCAAGGAGCTGTGGCAGATTGTTTGGGACTGGCGACCGAAAACCATGATGGGGCAGAAAGTGTCTTCCTTCTCCCCCCCCCCCCCCCTATACACGCAGAATAGGGTGAAACCAATCGCCGAAGAACACGGCACGTTCTCGCTGTGCTGGCTTACGCTATGTGTTAATAGTCTTTATTGACATTCCAGGGAGTGCATCAGTAAGTTCGGCAAAATCACCGGGCCTGAGGTGTGGGAGGCCATCAACGAGTGCTTTGACGCCATGCCGCTGGCCGCTGTCATCGATAACAGGGTGAGGTCAGAGGGTCGAAGTCGCCGGGGAGGGCTCTGGGTGGAGAGGGTGGCACTCTCCCCGGTCTCCGGGTGGAGAGGGTGTCATTCCTCCTGGCCTTTGGGTGGAGAGGGTGGCATTCTCCCCGTCCTCTGGGTGGAGAGGGTGGCATTCCCCCGGCCTTTGGGTGGAGAGGGTGGCATTCCCCCGGCCTCTGGGTGGAGAGGGTGGCATTCCCCCCGGCCTCTGGGTGGAGAGGGTGGCATTCCCCCGGCCTTTGGGTGGAGAGGGTGGCATTCCCCCGGCCTCTGGGTGGAGAGGATGGCATTCTCCCCACCCTCTGACCCTTCCTTGTATCGAATACGCGGACGCCGCCCCTGTGTGCAGGCTTCTTTCAGCACGTTCCTCCGTCGCGACTCAGTTGGCTCATTTTGCTATGTTCTCTACACGGCGTGCGTGTGCGCTGGCCGCCCGCGCCGTCCGCCGCGTTCTGACGGCGCGCGTCGCTGCCGCTGCAGATCTTCTGCGTGCACGGCGGCATCCCGGCGCCCACCATCGATGGCGGCCGCGTGTCGGCCATCAACCGGATTCCGTGCCCGCTGCCGCAGCCGGAGACGCAGAGTCCGCTCGCCTGGGAGATCATGTGGAACGACCCCATCAGGTCAGGCGCCGATCGAGGATGGAGAAGATGGTGGGCCGCAGCGCCTTGGCGGCGTTTGTCTGGGTGGGGTGGGGCTGAATGTCTGGCTGGTTTGCAGTAGTTATGTTTCTGGTTGTACAAAGGGGTGCTCTTTCGTTTCGCTGGTCACTGGCTGGGGTCTTTCATGAGGTCACAGGCTTCATGACGTGTGGGAAGGTACTGAACCTTGCGAGACGTAAAACGTGCCGTGTGGTCCTGCCAGCCGACTTGACACGCCAGACGGGTTGCACGCTGGCTATCGTTTTGTTTTGTGCCCAACTCGCCATAGCGAGAGCGCTGTCTCGCGATGAACTCGGCATCGGCCTCCGCACCGTCGTTACATTCGCCCTCTGAGACCACACTCGTCACAGTCCTCCGCGCTCAAGTCGGCGCGCCAGCAGAAGGGTCTCAGCGTCTGCCTGCCGAGTGTGCAGCCTCACCGTCGGCCTGCCGTTGCAGCATGGGTAGTGTCAGCTCGGAGACGCTGGACGAGCTGCGCGAGAACGACGGCTTCATTGAGAACTACCGGCGCGGCACGGCGCATATGTTCAGCAGCGACGGACTCGACCGTTTCCTCGAGCGCAACGGGCTGTCGCATGTGGTGCGCGCGCACGAGGTGCAACAGGCCGGCTTCCAGGTGTGTGTGACGCCGCTTCTGGCCCAGTGTCGGGGATAGAACTGGAGAGGGGCCGCGCCCGGGGGCGTCGGGCAGACAGGTTCTCGGCGGCTCTGGGATGGCTGGACCTGAGATGGGCTTGGCCGTGACTGTTTCCAGGTGGGTCTGGATTGCTTCTTGCGTGGTTAAGAGAGGAGTGGAGTGGCACTCTAAGCGCTGGATAACAGTACATGGTTTTCTGATGTGTGAAGGCGCTCGTACGTCATCATCATCATCAGATTCGTCTTTCATCAACGCCACAGGAAGAATCAGAATTCACGGCTAATTTTATGAAAACCAAAATTAGAGCACTTACACCAATAGTGAAACACGATTGAACAGAGGCGGCACGCGCCAAGTTTGGAGCGCAGACGCGCGAGCGGACGGGAATCTGTACGTGTGTGCGTGCGTTCGCGTGTTGGGCTATGTGTGGCCTCATTCGTGAGTGAATGGATGTCACTGTGTTTTGTTGTTGGTACAGGGTGGGTACTGACTGATCACTGCTGATCACACTGATGAACTTGAGCTTTAGAGGACTGCAACCTGATTTGGCTTCTGCCAAGTAGAGGGCATCTGACCGGCCTGTATTTGGTGCTAAAACGGGATTATTAACATGCCACCCGTAACTGTATGCCTCAAATAATTGACGAAAGAAGACAGGAGAAAAAGCTTTCGGCTTGCACAATCACCAGGGTCTCAGGATGAGAGTGTAAACTAGAATTATGGTGTAAATAGAATCGTTGCATGTTTTTTGGTCAGTTTTGCGGCCAATATAATTCCATGTAGGCAGGTTGATGGTCATGCTTTAATGATGTGGTCCAATTGACGGTCATGGTCACAATCATGCCGCCTGCCATCCTCCAATCAGGCTGCCGTGCATCTGACAATAACACGGAGTGCAGGAGGCTGACATTCCAGTGTTGATTTGTGACGATGAGTGAATTCGTCGCACTAGTTTCCTCAGTTGTAAGCCGGATGTAGCGTGAGGTTGGCTGTATCCATGCCGTGTTTCACTCGGAGGCTAGATGAGTTGTGATTTACGGCCCATGTTTTCCTGTTGCGACCGGTTGATGAAATGTTAGTCGAAAATTTATATTTTGTGACGTTACCCAGCATCTAGTCCGCGCCAGAACTACGCTCCACAATGTGGCGATGATAGTGTGGGCTGTGTCTCCTCGGGGACTGCGCGTGGATTTTCCCAGCAAGGTGGGCTACACCTTCCCCATAAACTGATTGATGGTGATTTGAGTGTTTGAGGTGCTTGGTCTGGTAGGTCGTATAATGATCGCGTCTGATGCATACCAATTGCCGGCAGAGTTATTTTGTATGTCGGCTACGTATTCGCAGGATCTGCCGGCTCGGATAAGAATGATTTATTCTTGGAATGAGCTCTCAGATGGTGATTTAGGTCTTAAAAAGGGACACGGATGTTGAGAGCCGTTTAGATGAGCGCTGTTTCAAATTGCAGCCGTTGTACCAGTCGCAAGGGAATTTCAGAATTATCCCCTGATCGTGTAGCGGTCGTTACGTTTCGCTTTCTGTCCTGGTTAATGCCGTCACCAGTTGCCGCAGCAGGGGTGTCTGCTGACCGTGTTCTCGTCGTCGCCCCGCTGTTCCTGTGTTCACTGACCTGGTGTTGTTCTGTCACCAGTTGCAGCAGAAGGGGCGTCTGCTGACCGTGTTCTCGTCGTTGCCCCGCTGTTCCTGTGTTCACTGGCCTGGTGTTGTGCTGTCACCAGTCGCAGCAGAAGGGGCGTCTGCTGACCGTGTTCTCGTCGCTGTGCTGTTCCCGTGTTCACTGACCTGGTGTTGTGCTGTCACCAGTTGCAGCAGAAGGGACGTCTGCTGACCGTGTTCTCGTCGTCGCGCTACTGTGGCGGCTCCAACGAGGCTGCTTGCGTGCTGGCCGACTGTCACAAGCTGCGCACCCTCCGGCTGGACACGGCCTGACGAGACCACCTGCGGCCGCGGAGCCGCACCAGGGCGACGCCCGAGGGCGGGGAGACGGTCCCGGGTCCGAGGCTGGGTCACAGGGCGGCGGGCCGTCGCTCCAGGGGCCTGTGCGGCGAGACTCGTCCGGAGATCCGGCTCCTGGGGCGGCCGCGGTCAGCTCACTGCCGCTGGGCATGCTCTGAGGTCAGGTCGCCCTGCGGTGTGACCTGTCTGACACCTGTGTAACCTGTGACCTGTGACCGGTCCTGTCTGGTCGTGGTGAGACGGTGGAGGGCCCAAGGGCTGGAGGGCAGGTGGCGGCCCGTGACCCGTCTTGGTATGACGTCACCGGCATGGCTGGGGGGGGGGGGGGGGGCGAGCATTCGATCAAACAGTGCTAGTTGTCTTCTGTCTAGTCCAGTCCGGCAGCCATTGTTTCCAGCTAAGGAATGAAAAAGGGATTGGTCTTTACTCGGAGTTGATTATCGGAATGTGCGTTCGCGCACGGTATGTGTCGGTCACGCTTCAGTACGTGTGAATCCTTGCTGCGGGAGGCGAGTGGGTGCCACTTGCCCGTGTCCACCAGACATTGATGAAGGCAGCATTATTAACCCTGACTTACTTAAATGGCAAACAGGGTTTGCCTCCGTCTGCTTATGAAATAGAGCTTCCCCTTCATCAATTCGAGTCCGTCAGCTCGAGACAATATGCAACTACGCCAACGTAATTGTATTGTAGCTGGGTTATCCGAAACGTCGTTTTCATGACTGTCTTCGCGCGTTCTGTGGAATACGCGTGCAGAAGAGTACCGTTGAGTTTTGTGTTCTGAATGTGGCGCTTGTCATGTTGCCACATTGTGCTAAAATTAGCAAAATTCGCGATTTCTGCTCAGCGACGCCATGTCTCGCGTTTTACACACGTACCTGACAGGCGGCATTTGGCATATGATCCTTACATTGGCGTATGTGCAAGCTCCATCACATGTCTTAAAGTGCATTGCTCTTACCGATATGTGGTAATCTTGCACGGAACAGTTTGTGACCTGGTGTGTGCCAAAAGGTCTGCCAGCGCACTTTGCTCTGATGTAATATCGATTCAATTCCAGTACCCGTTAAAATTCAGTTGCTGGCTCATGACTGTGTACATATGCCTTTGCGTTGCTCAGTACGGATGTAATGTACGACTTTGTTGACAACAGTGACATCTTGTGACGCTTTGTCGCTAAATCTGGGTACATGCGTTGCGCCATGCGCCGAGTGGCCGCTTGATGCGTTGAAATGGATGTTCCAACGCTCCACGTTTATGTGCGTTTGTGTTGCGTTCTCTTGCTGCAGGGTGCCCTTGAGCGCGGCGTGTTCATTATGCGTTCCAGATTCGTTTGGCTGTGCTTAGTTAACCACACTGCCGAGGGCAGTCGACGCCTTTCTCGGCGTCGTTGTAGCCGTGTCCCCTCTGCGAAGCCGTGCCGTTGTCAAAGACGTGTATATCTAATGTCCGGTAATAAGTCAATATACTCACAACTGCACTCATGGACGGCGTGTGTTTGACCCGAGGTCCAGGCCGACTGCAAGTCACCACGCGTTCTCCGCCGGCCGTGCATGGCCGTCAAGACCACTCGACATTCCGTGGTCAGGCCCAGTCACCGGTCGGCGTTCGAGCCGGCCTCTTTCCGCACGACGGTCAGCGCGGCGCCAGCGTGAGCGCGACGAGCTGGCCCTCGGCTGTTCGTGCCCCCAGCTGCCTTGGTCGCGGACGCGGCCGGTCTGTGCCATCCTGTCCTGTGACCGGCGGGCGCAGCCGGTGCCGGAGCGGGGCGGCCTCTGCACGCTCGCCGGACGCGTGACCCCGCCCGCCGGAGCCGGCGCCGCGCCGGCCGCGGCCGCCCCGTAATCGGCTTCGGGAGGCACGTGTGTCCGAGGCGGCGCCGACTCGCTAATCCTCTCCGGCAGCCGAGCCGCCGGCCTGGCGGGCGGCGGCGAGCGGCGCGCTTGGAGGGGTCTCCTCGGCGGAAGACGCTGTTCCTGTCCTGCTGGTGCACGGTAACGGTGGCGTGGCCCGCTTGTAAGCGCAGAGCTAGGACTGCGTTTGAAAGCAGCGATGGTACGCGGAGCCGGGTAGCAAGTGCTGAAGAGCTGAGAAGCTGTTGGCGACAACACACTGCCTTTGGCATTTTTCGGGACAGATGTCATGTGAAGACATGTGTATAAGTGGAGATGTCATGTGAAGACATGTTTATAAGTGAAGATATCATGTGAAGACATGTTTATAAGAAAAGCTCAAGCTGCTCGACCAAGGATTTGAACGTCTAGTACCGCAGTGCCTAAAATAGGGCTGAAACAAGGCTAGCGATTATCAAATATGGTTCGGACCCGTGGCGTGCCAATGTCCCTGAAGGCACGTGTATTTCACGCCTACTGCTGACATCACAGGGGAATTCAGTGCCGGGCTGCGTCATCAAATACGAAACAAACAGCAAAGCTGAGCTTGTCAGTATCAAAAGAAGAGACGAAATTGGTGTCCTCAGCACCACCAAGCAATTAGTAAACTGACAGTGCGGGATGAAGGAGGTGCCACCTGAGTCAGCAACAAACTGACATTTTAAAACGTCTGACAGAAACGCGATGCAGGCTGCCGTCTCGTCAGCAAGCTAGTCGGCTCGAGTGAAATATTTCGGATGAGTTCCGCACACGCGCGGTTTTAAAGGCGTTGTGTGCGCTCAACACTTCCCTGTTTTTTGTAGCACTTAATTATTGAGATTGTTGTTCCAGTACGCGTCCTTTCAGCCGCCATACATCAAGCATAACGGACATGTCGGTTTTGTAGTGCCTTGTTCAGCTAACGTAACGCCGTGACCGCAAATGTCGCCTTAAGGGTGCCACTGTCAGTGCCTCCAAGTCTGAGAGTATTTTATTCCTCCCGCATGGCCACTGCTCAAGCTGAACCTTTGCAGAATTCTTGTGGCGCAAGCCGTGAGTACCTGACAGCTAAACAAATGTCACGTGGATCATGGACATGCGGCTTTGCACGCGAACACAAAAAATGACGCTGAATTCCAAATGAACTGGGATCAGTGCAATAGACTGGGACACGCTTTGGTGAAGGCACCATCTAGAGATCATCCACCTTACCGAGTCGATATGGAGGGCCCCTTTGCAGGCTTCGTAGGGTGGTTGGTTAAAAAAGCATTAAATCTGGTCGAATTCAAAACAGAAACATGAGGAAACATGTGTCTATCCTGACCGAATGATGGATGATTCGAGGACAAACGTTCAGCATTAAGCAAACGAATTTTGACCGTGGCAACATTCACATTATAATCATGTAAGTGGGACGAGGATAAAAATCCTAACTTGATGGCCCGCAGAACGCTGTATCGCTGCATGTGTGGGGTAATTTTGCCACATTTAGACGTGTCGAAAAATGTGACAGCCACCTTTTTCTGAACGTGAGGTCACATGTCATTACCTCAACTTTCGTGCGTCCATACGAATACAGTAATGTCGAGCTGCGAGTGGCAGCAAAAACAAGGATATTTTATGTCAAGACCCCAACGCCCGGTCCGCGGTCTCAAGATTTACGTCTTTACGCAATTTCGGTTTGGGCTTTACCAAAACACTTACTTTATAACGGCAGTCAGCGGGGACGATTCGGACGGGTCTTCGATGCTGCTGATTTGAAGTTTAATCGCAGTAAGGCGCGAAACACATCAGCCACCACACAAACTAAGGTGGGGTCGTATGTCACGCCCTTCAATTATTGAGGTTATATATCTCACCGAACGATGTTTCGCAGGGTGAACGCCTCATCACGATAACAAGCATGACAACAAATTTGGTGACTATCGATCGTTTTTCATGATTTGTTCTCAGCTGTCCAAATCATTATTCATCTGATATAATACTGAAACCCTAATACAACTCTTACGCTAAGAAACGTCGACTATATGGTCGGCGAGTTACGTTTCGTCTGTTTTTACTTTAGCAGCAGTTGGACGCGAAGCACAGCCGCAATGCAAATTACGCTCGTTCTCGCTCCACAGGTGAAGGTGGGAATGTCCATCCAAAATCAAATCTAAATCAGGCCACCTCTCGCCTCTAAAACACTGGTTATGAATCAGGCTATCTCTCGCCTCTAAAACACTGGTTATGAATCAGACCATCTTTCGCGTCTAAAACACTGGTTATCAACACTAAGGTGTTTATTTGCCGACGATACCACCATACAATATCTCTGAGCAACGATAATTGCCACCTAGACCATTTTTTTTCTCGCAAAGCTGTACGCGCATGTGCAATGTCCTGAATCAGCTAGTTCTCGCGTCCGTGTCAGCATGGCGCACGGCGCTCCCGGTCGAAGGCTTTCCAATTTGATCCATGTCAACACCCGATAGGCATCCGACACGATTTCGACATTTTCCGACATTCGCGAGCGAACCTGAACTGCGGCACCGCGGTTGCCGTGTTCAAAATGAAAATAAAAAGAGGGGATGCATCCAGTAAGTACGTGGCAGCAATGTAGGTTTAAACAGCGTGTAGATGCAAGGATAAGAAGACAGTCGTGCTTGGTAACATACGCCGCTTTGCAAACATCGGTATGATCAAATCAAGTGCAAATATCCGACACTTACGAACAGCTCGTGATATGATACATCAGCAGCAGATCTCACGCGACGTGTATCATCGGATGCACCATGCACGGATCGTATAACTTTCGAACCACAACGTAAGCTACGTCTTTTGTGAAGTATGGTGAAGCTCTCAGCCGAAGACCAACAGCGAGCTCTGAATAGCGTATCCCTTGCAGTCGCGTCACCCCAGAGCACGGCGACTGCCTGGAGCAGCCTGCCACGGTGGTCGCCACCATTTGTTTGTATTGGCTGAAAAACTGATCTGGTCATGGTGTGACTCTGAAAGAGGAACAGCAGGTGGAAAAGGGAGTGTGGTCTCCGAATCAGCCCGTTGTGGGGAGACATTTTTCGCGCGACACAACCGTATTCCGCGGCTTAGATGTCACTAAGATAAGGTAGTTTTCCTTCCACCTAGAAAGGAGCAAAGGCTCATCCCATTTTCAAAAACAAGGGGTCAAGCTCGGATCCTGTTAACTACGGGCCAAACAGTTTACTTCCTTGTGTGTCGAAAATTTTTGAAATAATTATGTTTAATAGTATCTATCAACACCTAATTGAGCATGGGCTGCTGTCTGAGAAAAAAGTGGATATCGTACAAAACGAAGCACATAAATTCAGCTGGGATATTCCATTAACAATTTTTATGCAGCTTTGGACCAAGGCAATAACTTTACAGCCATTTACTTGGACGTTAGTCAATATTTTGACAAGATATGGCATATGGGCCTCCTACTCAATTGCAAGAACTATTGTGATTTGTCAGGAACTCTCCTAAATTGGCTAGAATCGTATCTCTCAGACCGTAAACAGATAGTTAAGATACGCAACAGTTTCAGCACGCCTAGGACCATACGTGCTGGATGCCCGCAGGGGTCCGTTCTGGGACCTCTCCTCGCGCTTATATATTTTAGCGACCTAGCCGACAAAACTGATACTGACGTATTGTTCTTTGCCGATGATACTACGCTTTACACAGCTCACTCACACGACCCAGTTGCCGTACAATCAGAACTGCAACACGACTTACATATCAATCAAGAGCTCGGCGAAGACTGGTTCGTCACATTCAACGCCACGAAAACAATTCAACAAACATTCGCCAACAGAAACACACATAACCCAACGTAGTTGGCATTTGATGGCCAACGAATTCCTTCCGTTACAAGCCACAAACACCTTGGCCTGGCGATATCTACTGATCTGCACTTCCATCAGCACGTTAATGACACCATTTTCAAAATCAGTAGAGCCCTTGGACCTCGCTACCCACTATTGCGACTTCTGTTTCGGCATCTCCTCAACGACATATATACGACTTGCATTCTTCCTTTGTTTGATTATTGTAACGTAGTACATGACGGACTTTTGACAAACAGCGACTCCCTTAAACTTGACAGATAACAGTACAGAGCAGCAAGACTAAGCACTGGTGCACTCTACAGAACACCCACTCGCGTACTGTTTTGGACGATTTGGAATGGAACACTCAAATCACGAAGAAACATGCACGAACTGACGCTGTTCCACACCCCCATCCACAACCAGCATATGCTGCCAACAACCGTCACTGCACTTCTACCTGACACACGAGCACTTGCAACAGGACGCTCACCACGCAATGCAATGACACTCACATTACCACCGAACAGGACCTCAACATACCAAAAATCCTATATTCCTTCAGCTACGAGAAGATAGAACCAGCTCCCGCTTGAGGTGTCATCTCTCCAGTCTTCTCGTTCCTTCAAACGGGAAATATACCAACGCTGCTATGTGGCCGCGCCTCGGGCGTATCGCAGCTTTGGATCCAGACATGGTAACATCCTAAATACTAGGCTGAGATTGGGAATGTCAGACCTGAATGCCCACCAGTTCGAAATTCGAAATTCAATTACACCTAGTC